ATAATGCTCTTCAAGAGACCCAACATCACTTCTTTCTTGATCTCGAAATGCCCTAGCATATTAGCATGCTCCACATTAATCTCACATGCATGGTATGCTTGAACACATGATTTAATCCATGTACGTTTTGCACTTATTACCATTTAACCAATTGTGATTCCATAAATACAGTGCTTCAGGTTTGCAGAGATCAGTCACGTGGATTAGAGGTAAGTATAGAGCAGGGCTCATGATTACTGTATTGGTCATAAACAAGGCTGTATTATAATATTTGTTGAATTAAGTTTTAGTCTGTGAATTCTAGGGGTCATAACGTTAGAATCTTACTTGAGCATCAGAAATGAGTCTGAAGAAAATTGAACAGGGAGTGATGACCATTCAGCACATTTTTTGTGTAGCTTATGATATGTTCATGTTCTTTAGAGACAAACAACATTTAACAAATTGTTGAGAAATATTGAAACCAGGAGCATGAGTGAGACATTCTACTGAGTCTGTTTTGCTATTCAGTATAATCGTGGGTAATCCTTTACCTCACTGCTTCCACCCCAGATCTCTTGATGCTTTGCATCTTGAAATCTATCCATTTCTTTCTTATATATATTCATTGACATAGTTTCCATCACCTTGTGTGGTGGAAGCTTCCATAGGTACATCCCACTTTGAGTGAGGAAATCTCATCTCTGGCCAAAATGGTTTACCCTGTATCCGGAGACTGCAACCCCTTGTTTTAAGCCATCTGCTCCCCTAGTCAGAGGGAATTTCATCCATACATCCATTCTGAGGAATATTAGCTACTCGCCAGTCCTCTGGTACCTCTCCAGTGGCTAGCGAGGCTACAAAGATCTTGGTCAAAGCCCCAGCAATCTCCTCTCTTGCCTCTCTCAGTAACCTGGGGTAGATACCATCGGGCCCTGAGTATTTTTCCACCTTAATGCTCTTCAAGAGACCAAACACCATTTCTTTCTGGATCTCAACATGCCCTGGTATATTAGCATGCTCCACATTAATCTCACTATCCTCCATATCCTTCTCCTGGGTGAATACCGATGCAAAGTACTCATTTAGGATCTTGACCACATCCTCTACCTCCAAACTCAAATTCCCTCCTTTAATCTTGGGTGATCGTACCTTCTCCCTAGTTATCCTTTTGTTTTTAATGTATGCCTAGAATGCCTTGGGATTCTTTAAAGGTACTTGCTCAGGTCATTTCATGGCCCTCTTCTTGCTCTCCGAATACCGTGATGGAGTTCTTTCCTGCTTTCTTTATATTCCTAACGGGCCCTGTCCAATTTTAGCTTCCTAAACCTTACATATCCTTTCTTCCTTCTGACTAAATTCATAACCTCCCTCGTTATCCAAGGGTCATTCACCTTGCCATCCTTGTCCTTTCTCCTTACTGAAATATGCCGATCCTGAATTCTCATCAGCAGGTCTTTAAACAGCTCCCACATGTCAAATGTGGACTTGCCTGATAACAGCTCCTCCCAATAACACTCCCAGGTTTCTACCTAATACTGATGTAATTTGCATTCCACACCCAGTTTAGCATCTTCCCACATGGTCCTGACTTATCTTTATTCATAGTCTTCTTAAAACTTCTTTACTCAGAGAGTAGTGAGGGCGTGGAATGCCCTGCCTGCAACAGTAGTAGACTCACCAACTTTAAGGGCATTTAAATGATCATTGGATAAACATATGGATGATAATGGAATAGTGTAGGTTAGATGGGCTTTAGATTGTTGTGCCGACCTGTGAAACCATCGAGGGCCGAAGGGCCTGTACTGTGCTGTAATGTTCTATGTTCTATGTAACTTAAGGAGACTGGTACAATTTCAACATTTAAAAAGCATCTGGATTGGTACTTGAGTAGGAAGGTTTAGAGGGATATGGGTCAAATGCTGGCAAATAGAACTAGATTAATTTACATGATATCTAGTTGGCATGAATGAGTTCGCGTGAAGGGTCTGTTTCCGTGCTGTACATCTCTATGACTCTATAATATCATTTTTTGAAACCAAATTATCTGTGGAAAGTGATTTATTTGTACAGGAGGGCATGACAAATGTGTCCTCCAATGAGTGAAAAATAAAATTTATATTCATAAAGAATTATATTTATAAAGAGAGCTCATCAATCTCACAGTGTCATAAAATTGCCTCTGATCAGACACTGTAAGTTCTGGCTCTGTGTCTTTCACCAGTGACAGAAGAGGAGTGACTGGTTATTGGGCATTATCCAGTCATACTCACAGGACTAACGTTGCATAGTGTCACCTGCTAGAGAATGTGACAGTGCTTTATGCTGGCTAGTGTTCACAGGGACACTCAGGCAGTCAGTGATGTGGATTCAGAGCCAGCGCTAGCTCTCGAATGACCACCTCGGTTTTGAATGGAAATTCAAATCATCACCAAGAAACTAACATAACTACTCATGGTCACAATTTGATATTTCTGCCTGCAAAGCTTTGAGCATGTATTGGACAGAGATCAGTAAAAACACACATTGCTAGCTCAACACATCCCATAACTCATAAAATCAGAGGTCGTGGTGTTGGTGAGATTGAGTGTTCAAAGCCAGGTTCTGTACAATTGGAAAAGGCTATTTCTGTGAAAAAGCAGCACAGCCTTGGGCTTAATGTTGAGTTTTAATTATTTTGGAGTATGAACATCTCCTTCAATGTATTTTACACACTCCCACACCCCGGGCCCTGACTTATCATGGGTTGCTTTCAGCAAAGCCAACTTATTTCCAGCCTCTCATGGCCCCCATTATCATTTAGCTGGCTTACATTTTCATAAAGGGAATAAAAAAACTGTGGATGGTGGAAATAAGAATCAAAATCAGAAATTGCTGGAAAAACTCAGAAGGTCAGGCAGCATCTGTAGACAGTAAGCAGAGTTAATGTTTCGGGTCTAGCAACTCTTCTTCAGAAAGTGTTCTGAAGAAGGAAGAAGAGTCACTGGACTCAAAATGTTAATTCTGCTTTCCCTCTACAGATGCTGCCTGACCTGCTGAGTTTTTCCAATGACTTCTGTTTTTGTTTATCACAGCCTTCACCTGACCTGGATTAATCTCGGTTAACGCTGTCCTCAGTAATGTCACGTTGGAAACTGACTGAAGGTATGTGACAAAACTAAAGTTTGCAGATTTTGGGGGTTAAGGAGAAGTGTTTGAGAGTTTTTCCAACCTGAATTTTCAGCAACTGGAGAATCCTGGGGCAACAAAGTGACTGAGGGAGGCATGAAAGATGGTGAGACAGGAATCAGCTGGAGACACTCTCGTTTTGCTAGGCAACTGTGTGAGAAGCAAAACTGAAGCCAGGCCAGAAAAGTGAATGGTTTCTTTTTACAAAGAACAGATTTTAAACAAGCAACATTCGAGCCTCAACAGATTTCACAGAGAGAAATTCAGGCATAAACACATGGAGAACAGAAGCTTCTTTGTGAAAGCAGGATTGGGCCAGTTCCTTGGACTGGTATTTTGCGTCAGAGTAATAACACAGAATGATCCAGCTTAGCTCCAACCTCTTTAGCTGCTGAATCGCTGAAGCCACAGACCCTGCTGAAGTCCTGGTCTGTGCCGTGTTGCCATGTCATCACCATTCTTCTCAAGTGGGTGGACAGGCAGTTAAATGGAGCACTCAGCACAAAGTGACCCTTACTATGCTGAGCACGTACAGGATCCAATCAATATAAGGTAAAGTGTTTGTCATGCAGCTCAGACCAAACGCACAAACCCTGTCATCAGTCAGCCTGTGATACTCACCTGTCATTCATTTAATGAAGTTAAACACAGACCCCAAGCCCTGGCTATAATCCACAAACTCAGCTGACAGATAAAACCTTTTACACTTGGTGCACAGCGTAGGGAGGAATTAATGCAGGGGGCTTCCAGTAATACATTCTAATCCAGAAAGTAGCAAACAGTTTAGGCAAAAAAATTCCCCTATTTAAGAACAGCAGCACCCAGAGTAAGAGTCAGAGGATATATTATAAAAATATAAATGCTGACATGATTCATGTGTCTTCATGGATCTAGGGACAAATGGGTGTTGTTCAGAGGCAGCCAAGGTTCCTCAACACTTTTAGCCTGATTTTTATCCAATGTGACCTTCAAATATTCTTAGATCCGTTCCAGCATAGACTAGGCTGAGTAAAGCTTCTTCCATCAACTTCAACAATCACTTTAACCTGAGGAGAGAGTCTTCACTAGATCCCGTAACAGATATACCTGTGGCTCTACGAAACTGGATTCACCTCAGTCTACTTCCAAAGGCAGTTCAGTTACATACAATTGTGGCAAGAACCAATTCAAAAGTGAGTTTTCAATTTCATTTGAATTGGTCTTGGCTATTGATTCGGACAATGCAATATTGAACTAGATGTACCCATCCTGTGCCACACACATCATTCACCATGTAGAAAGGATTTATTCTCAGGACAATATGAAATTTGGGACTTACTTCAGCCACTGAAGGAAATAGGGTTAGGCCTGTGAACAAGTTCAGAAATTCTGCTCCAAAAGGCCAATATACTTATCTTTCTCGCACAGTTAAATGGTTAACTCCAGTAAGTGGAATTCTGCTTTATTTGTGCAGTTAGTCTTGCTAATCATTTTACTCTGAGTTATGGGGAGTGATTCAGATGATTTCACAGCCCAGTGGGATGCTGGATGCACTCTAACTGGAAACTTTTACTGGGAAATGTGTGGACACCCACAGCTGGACAGATCAAGGGTCAGGTGCCTTCTTCACTATCCCAGGGAGTTATCTGCTGTTTCCCCAGTCCAGCTTTTCCAAACTAGAGTTACTGCTGCAAGAAGAGATTACCAATCAGAATCAAGGGTTTTGTGTTGAAAAAGACACGTGAAGATTCAGAATCTGTTCACGTTGTTAATGGTAACAATCCACTGAGGCCCCAACAAGAGAAGCTGCCTTCAGACAATGAATTGAAAACTAAATTCAAACACGAGAATAAGACCTTTAGACTTGAACTCACCTGCAACAGAAATGATGAAGGATGCATCCATGGCATCAATATCCAATGTCTTAGCCCTGGCTGAGAGATGAAAGTAGGGAATAAAGTACGCTAACTGACTGAACACCACTGAGAATGTGTAAATACTAAAGAAAGGATCCCGTAACAATGAGAAATCGAGAAGCTTCTCTTTGGGAGGAAGGCTTTGTGTTCCCTTGCCCCTGCTCGAAGAGCTAACAGACGCAGTGTGAGCTGTTCGGAAAGTTACTTTGTCCAGAAAAGCTTTGCTCTCGTGAGAGATACTGGATTCTGTCTCCACTCGGGAATGGTTAATGTTCAGGTTCTCATCCCTCAGGATACAGCTGTCATGATTCTTGGAAATATCAAGGTGACCAATTGCTGAATGGGACACGCTGGGATTGCTAGTGATTAAGCAGCTTTCTGAGTGCTTCTCTAAGATGCCTTGCTTCATTGCTCCGTTGTGAAAGAGGCAGCTGTTTGGAGCTTTGAGTATTGTCCTGTCACATGGTGATTGCGAGAAGGTGGGCTGGTGCTCGTGGAGAGAGATGGGTCGAAGCAGCATGCTGGTAGCAATCAGGTTCAACATTATACCTCCCAAAATAAGTAAAGCACCTGTAAAGATGATACAAAAAAAAATTGTGTTAACAAACCCATCATTCTTTTTAGATCCCTGCACAGCTTCAAGTTGGTGAGGTGTTGATACAGTGAAATCAGGATGAGTCAATCCCAGGTGATCTACCCACACTGGGAGCTTCCAGAGAGCGGAGGAGGATCCTTGACTCGATTTGTCTACAAATACACTGCCCATGTGAAACAAATCCCTAAACAAATCCAAAGTAAAGCAGCAAAATGTGAAAAATATCTATTTTCATGTTTCCATCTCCCACTCCTGCCACAAGCGATGTTTGTGTGTCCACAGTTTTCCACTTGCTGTATTGACTTTAGTTTCTCTCTGGCTGAAAACTCTTTGAATGTTCTCAGAGGGATGTCTGTTCTTGCAGGTTGGATGGTCCTCACACACAGGGTGATCCTGAAGATGGTTTGTTCAGAGATTGGAGAATTCTCACACTGGCCTGTAATAACTCTGCTCCAATCAGCTGTCCCAGTCACTTAACAATCCGATATCCCATAAGACAATCCTATTCGATGGTCCTATTCTGCTGATGACAATGGCTGACACCTTTGACACAATCAGGATGTTGGGTTTTCCAAAATGGACTCATTGCGATTTCACTGTATTTACATGGGGGTCACATGGATAATACTCATACCAGCAACTTGCATTTATGTAGCATCTTTAACAGAGTAACACATCCCAGAGCCCTTCACAGGTACATTAACAAACAAAATTTGATATTGAGTCACATAAAACAATATTAACTCTTGCTCAAAAACTTACACAAGGAAGAGAGAAAGGCAGAGAGGTTTTCGCAGGTTTCAGAGTTCAGAATTCCAGAGTTTAGTGACCAGGCAATGACGGAATGGCCACTATTGGTGTAATAGAAATTGGGGGATGCTGAAGAAACTAGAATTTGAAGAATGCAGATATTTCAGGGGGATGAGAGGCTGGGGTATACAGAGATATAGAGGGATGTAGTCATGGATGGATTTGAAAACAAGGGTTAAATGGCTTGAATCTCTCCACCCCTCTCACTTACTCCAACGTCTCCCCATCGGAACATGCAGCCCTCCGCTCACTTCGCTCCAACCCTAACCTCACTATTAAACCCACTGACAGGGTGGGGGGGGGAGAGGTCACAGTGGTAAGTATTGGGAACTGACCTCTACGTCGCTGAGGCCAAACGCCAACTCTCTGACACCTCCTCCTACCGGCCCCTTGATCACAACCCCACCTCTGATCACCAAACTATCAACAACCTCATCACTTCAGGAGATCTCCCATTCATAGCATCCAACCTGATAGAAATGGGTGGTACAGGGTTGGGGAATTATCTCCTACCCAAAATCCATAAACCTGAATATCCCAGTTGACCCATTGTCTCTGCCTGCTCCTGCCCCAACAAGCTCATCTCCTCCTACCTCCAATCCATTCTTTCCCCTTTGGTCCAGGAACTCCCTACCTACATTCGGGACACAACCTGCGCCCTCCACCTTTTCCAAAACTTTCAATTGCCCGGCCCCCATTACCTTATCTTCACCATGGATGTTCAGTCCCTGTACACTTGTATCCCCCATGCAGATGGCCTAAAAGCCCTCCGCTTCTTCCTCTCCTGTAGGCTCAACCAGTCCCCCTCCACTGACACCCTCATCTGCTTGGCAGAACTGGTCCTCGCTCTCAACAACTTTTCCTTTGATTCTTCCCACTTCCTACAAAGCAAAGGGGTGATGATGGGCACCCGCAGGGGCCCAAGCTACCCCTGCCTCTGTAGAATTCGTGGAACAGTCTCTCTTCCGCAGCTACAGCGACACCATCCCCCACCTCTTTCTCTGCTATATTGATGACTGTATCGCTACTGCCTCGTGCTCCCACAAAGAGCTCGAACAGTTCATCAACTTCGCCAACATCATCCACCCCATCCTCAAATTTACCCGGACCATTTCTGACACCTCCCTTTCCTTCCTGGACCTCTCTGTCTCCATCTCCGGAAACCGACTCACAATTGACATCCATTTCAAACACAATTACTCCCACAACTACCTCGACTACTCTTCCTTTCACCCGCCCTCCTACAAAAATTCCATCCCATACTCACAACTCCTCCGCCTCTGCCGCATCTGCTCCCAGGATGAGGTGTTCTACTCCAGGACATCCCAGATATCCTCCTCTGTAATTAAGGATGCCCTCAACCGCATCATCCCCATTTCCTGTGCTTCTGCCCTCAAACCCTCTCCCTCCAACAACAATAAGGATAGAGCCCCCTTCATCCTCACATACCACCCACCAACCTCTGAATCCATGCATCATTCTCCAACATTTCCGCCACCTACAATCAGACCCCACCACCAGAAAGATATTTCCCTCCCCAGCCCTGTCCGCTTTCTGCAGGGACCATTCACTTCACAACTCCCTCACCACCACACCCGGTACCTTTCCCTGCAACTGCAGGAAGTGCTACACCTGCCCCTACACCTCCCCTCTCACCTCCATCCAAGGCCCCAAACAATCCTTCCAGATCACCTGTACCTCATCCAATCTGATTTATTGCACCCATTGCTCCCAATGTGGTCTCATCTATATCGGGGAGACCAAACTCAGACTTGGGAACTGATTTGCAGAGCACCTGCGCCCTGCCCGCACCAATCAACCCGACTTTCTGTTCGCCATCCACTTTAACTACCCCTCCCACTCCCCTGGCGACATGTCCATTCTTGGCCTCTTCCACTGTCAGAGTGAGACCAAACGCAAACTGGAGGAACAACACCTGATATTTCACCTTGGGAGCTTATGGCCCAAGGGCCTGAATATTGACTTCACCAGCTTCAAAATCCCTCTACCCCCAACCTTATCCCATGTCCTGCCTCCCTGACCTGTCCTAATCTGTCCATCTTCCTACTCACCTATCTGCTCCATCCTTTCCACTGACTTATCATTATATCCCCTTACCTGCATCCACCGATCTCCATCCCACCTGCCTTTACCCAACCCCATCTCCCTTCCTCTATTTATTTGTGGGCTCCCCTCCCTCTGCCCAGGGTTTCAGCACAAAATGTTGACTTTCTTGCTCCTCTGATGTTGTCTGACCTGCTGTGTTTGTCCAGCTCCACATTTATTTACTCTGACTTCTATTATCTGCAGTCTTTACTGTCTCCTGTGAATTTTACAACCAGGGTGTTGCTTCCCTGGGAGTTAATGTCAGTAAACATGAGCAGGGGCCTAAGATTTGGTGCAGGTTGGGAAATAGGTAACAGAGATTTTGATGGTCTCATGTTTACAAAGGGTAGAATGTGAGTGCACTGGAATGGTCATATGAAGAAGGTGTGGCTGACGGCTTCAGCAGCAGATCAGCTGAGGCTTGGGCAAAGTCAGATGGCATGGCAGAGATGGAAATAGAAAGCATCAGTGACAGAGTCTACATGCAAATTCACAATGGGTAGCAAGGCTCCACACTTCATGTTATAAAAAGGCAAAGAAATTGTGAAGAGTGTGCAGAAATGATTGGCACAGATATGTCCAATGTCAGAGAGGGAGTATTTGGGAGATAGTGATAACCATTTCATGGGGGTAAGAGACGGCTGTGGAAAGGATAAAGAACAATTCAGAGTAACAATAATTTCTCTGGCATTTTAAGTGCTCACCCAGATGCTTCTTAAATGTTGCCAGAGGACCTGCCTCCATCATCCTCTCAGGAAGCACGTTCCATATTTATACCATCCAAACCAGTTACTCCTTTTCTTAAACTCATTCCCTCTGGTTTGGACACATCTGCCATGGGGGAGAAGATTCTCACAATCTGCTCTGTCTATGCCTCTCATAATGTTGTATATCTCAATCAGATCCCCCCTCAGCCTCCACTGCTCCATGGAAAACAAACCCAGCCTATCCAGTCTCTCCTCATAATTGAGGCTTTTCATCCCAGGCAACATCCTGGTGAATCTCCTCTGCACTCTCTCTAGTGCAAACACGCTCTCCCAATAGTGTGGGTGACCAGAGCTGCACACAATATTCCACCTGTGGCCTAACAAATATTCTATAAAGGTGTAACAAGACTTTCTTGCTCCTATATTCTATACTTTGGCTAACGAAGGCAAGCATCCCATATGCCTTCTTCACCATCCTGTTTCCCTGTGCTGACACCCTCAAAGATCTATGGATTTGTTCCTCAGTCCTCCCAGGACCTACCATTCATTGTGGACATGCTTCCCTGATTAAACCTCCCAAAATGCATCACCTCGCATTTATCAGGATTAAATTTCATCTACCATAGCTCTGCCCAGTTTACCAGCTGATCATTATTGGACTGTACCCTGAGACCATCCTCCTCACTATCAACAACACCCCCAATTTTCATCATCTGCAAACTTACTAATTATACCTTCTATATTCACATCTAAGTTGCTAACATTCAAATCGAACAGCAAGGGTCCCAGCACTGAACACTGTAGTACACCGTTGGTCACAGGCTTTCAATTTCAAAAACAACTCCCCACCATCACCTTTTGCCTCCTATCTGTAAGCCAATTTTGGATCCAGTTTTCCAACTTGCTGTGGATCCTATGGACTCTTGTCCTTTAGACCAGCCTTCCTTGTGGAACCTTGTCAAAGGCCTTCCTGAAGTCCATGTCAACGACCCTCATCGATATACTTAGACATCTTTTCAAAAACCTCAATTAAATTAGTCAGACAGAAAATCTCACTAACAAATCCATGCTGACTATCCCTGATCAATCCACGCTGACTATCCCTGATCAATCCCTGCCTTTCCAAATATCGATTAATCCTGCCCCTCAGAACTTTTCCCAATAATTTCCCTACCACTGATGTCAAACTATTGTGTCTGTAATGACCTGGCCTATCCCTACTGCCCTTCTTGAACAAAGGAACCACATTAGCTATCCTTCAGTCAACTGGCACTTCACCTGTGGCAAATGAAGTGTTCAATACCTCTGCCAGGGCCCCAGCAATCCCCTCCCTTACCTCCCATAGCAGCCTGGGATACACCTTATCAGGCCCTGGGGATTTGTGCACCTGTATGCCTGTTAAAACATCTAATACCTCCTCCTTATTTATCTTAGTATGTTCTACAACCTCACCATCTCACCTGAAATCCCCAGCTACGAAGTCTTTCTCCTCTGTGAATATAGATGAGAAGAATTCATTTCAGACCTTACCCATGACCTCAACGCACAGATTGCCCCTTTGGTCTCAAACAGTCCCACTCTTTCCCTCTCTTACTGTTAATGTACTTATAAAAAGCCTTGATCCCATCTGCCAAAAATATTTCATGGCCGCTTTTTCCTCTTAATTTGTTTTTTTAACCACTACCTCCTACACTCTCTGTACTCCTGAAGGACCTCCTCTGTTTTTAATGTGTTGTACCTGAACATATGTTTTCTTCTTTTTCTTTATCAAACTCTCAATACCCCTTTACATCTAGGGTTCCCAGGACTGGCTGCCCTTGCCCTTAACTCTTGAAGGAATATGCAAGCTCTTAATTCTCACTATAGAATCATGCAGCACAGAAACAGATCGTTTGGCCCAACCAGTCCATGCTGAACATAATCCCAAACTAAACTAGTCCCACCTGCCTCTCCTGGCCCATATCCCTTCAGACCTTTCCTATTCATGTACTTATCCAAACATCTTTTAAATGTTTTAATTGTGCCCACATCCACCACTTCCTCAGGAAGTTCATTCTACATGTGAACCACCCTCTGTGTAAAAATTTTGCCCCTCATGTCTTTTTCAAATCTCTCTCCTCTCACCTTAAGTCTTGGAATCACTCTTTTAGGGAAAAGACACCTACCATTAACCCTATCTATACCCCTCATGATTTTATAAATTTCTATAAGGTCACCTTTCAACCTCCTATGCTCCAATGAAAAAAGTCCCAGCCTATCCAGCCCTTCTTTATAACTCAAACCTTCCATACCCGGCAACATTCTGGTAAATCTCTTCTGAACCTTCTCCAACTTCATGATATCCTTTCTATAACTGTGCAACCAGAACTGGACACAATACTCCAGAAGAGGCCTCACCAATGTCCTGTACAACCTCGACATGACGTCCAAATTCTATACTCAAAGGACTGAGCAATGAAGGCAAGCGTGCCAAACATCTTTTTAACCATCTTGTCTATATGTGATGCATATTTCAAAGAATTATGTACCAGCACCCCTAGGTCCCTCTGCTCTACAACACTACCCAAGGCCCATTGACTCATTTAATCAAGATCCCATTTAATCTCAGAAAACTACAGCAAAATTTGTTTTAACTGGCACCTTATGAACCAGTACTCTTGATAAGTCTGCAAAAATAATATACCTCAAATACCAGCAGTTTACTGAATTATCATGATCTCTCCAATGTCGGAGTAGTTAGTTGAGGGCGTGAGTGAGAAGGGTCACTGCTGGTAAATTTTATTTAAAGCAAAGTTGCATTATTATTTACAAGCAAAATCAGAAATTGCCGGAAAACCTCAGCAGGTCAAGCAGCATCTGTAGAGAGAAAGCAGTTAACTTTTTGGGTCACTGGACCCTTCAGGACTGTGTTTGTGTCACTGAGCCCGTAACGTTAACTCTGCTTTCTCTCCACAGATGCTGCCAGACCTGCTGGGTTTTTCCAGCAATTT